GCTGGCAGGACTGAAGACTGACAGCTCGGAGGTTCGAATCCAGGGAGAGCGCAGATGAGCTGTCTCTGTCAGCTGCAGCTCCACATACAGGGACATGAGAGAAACCTCCCACAAGGATTGTAAAACATCAAAACATCCAGGCATCCCTTGCCCAATGTCCTTGCAAATGGCCAATTCTCTCACAACAGAAATGACTTGCAGTTTCTCAAGTCGCTCCTGACATGAAAAAAAAATCACTTCTACCTTCTATAGATCAGATTATTGCTTAGTTTTTACTGTATTTCCAAGATAAGCTTTATCCCCAATATAAACACTTCTTAAAATGCGGTGTATCTTAGAATCACATGTGCTTTCTATATAGGCAGTCCCCAAATTACAATCATCCAACTTACATACGACTCATAGTTAAGAACAGAGGTGAGACAACAGAAAGTGGGGAAAATTTACCCCTTGAAAGGGAAATTCACTCCTGGAAGACTTATCATGGAAAAAAGGAGTCTCCACTGAAGCTTTATCACCAATTCCTGTTTCCACAACAAGCCAAAAATTTCAAAATCCTATTATCTGTGAGGTGAAATCCTCTGATCAGGGGCATAGACAGTGAAAGAAACATTACAGGGGTGTTGTTGTTGGAAACAGCAACCTTCTTCAAGCCTGTACTAGTTATTTGTTATTTATATAATTCAGATTGCTTACTGTATTATATATGTGTGTATTGGTTAGCAGTTCTTTAACTCTGTGTTGTGGGAGGGGCTGCAGACCATGTGATCAGGTTTGGGCTCGTTCAGGACCCAGACTCCACTTTAGAAACAGTTCAGTTTAGACTTCAACTGTATGCTTCAGACTTCAATGCAGGAACAGTATGCTGTACAGAAGCCATTAGACTCAGCTGGACTACAAACTGTTGATTCTAAGTATGATGCCCGTGTTACCTACACACAGAAACTACTTCAAATCTATTTGTAACTGGATTTATAAGTAAAGTACCTGTATGCTGAATACATGAGGTTTGTGAGTAAACCAACTTCATTACTTTTAAAGAAGTTCTGCTTATTTTTGTCTCTTGAGGGCATGATTTAAAGGCAAATATATTTTAAGGGAGAATAGATGTTTTTGGGCAACTAAAAAAGAACACTTCTGAAACTCTGCTCTCTCTCTATATATGTTTTGCGCAAGGGCATATCTTTGTCCCTAACCATTCAAAGACACATCTAGGTACATCAGTTTAACAGCTGAGAAACCTGATTGCCTTGCATGAATGCCATTTTCCAAAAAGCACTCACAGGTCATGCTTTTTACCAAGAGGTTATGGCATTATTTTTCAAAAGGTGTGACTTCTAACAAAGTCATGCCTTTCCAAAGATCATAAAATTCCAAAAGGTTAAGGACATTTCCATTTTCCAAAAGTTATTAACCCTATGTTATGCTATCCAAAACTAAAAGATATTTGGCTGGAGTTCAGTGTGTCATGTAAATTCTCGCCAACATCAGGTATCTTGCCAATGTAAATGTGCCTCATATCTTGCATACTAATTTCTAACTCAATTCATAAGAGAATAATAATTTGACCTAGCTGTTCCCTTCTGTGATAGGTTTCTGTGCTACTGAAATAGAAATAGAAACACAAGTTATACTGTCGACCTTTGCTCCTCAAGGTTGCATACATTGCTCTCAAACAAGATGCTTCCTCCAGCATGTCAGCTGAAAATCCCTTAACATACAGCCCTTGGCTGCTTGCTGCCCAGAAGAGAATTTTGGGCAACCTGTGAGAACTATACAGAATATAAAAGAAAATAATATGCAATGAATGCTTTGTCCACACATAACTTGTGCCTAACATAACTTGGTGGGTGTGTTGACACTGCATACTCTCTCCTGTTTGTCACATGATCCACAGTAACTAACCATCATCAGCCTGGATCTAGACTGAGAGGAGTTAGCATGGTTGTATCTTTTCGCAGTGTTTTTGGTCAATAGTGGTATTGAACAGGGATACTAGAGACAAAATACACTAGAGCAGGGGTCCTCAAACTTTTTAAACAGAGGGCCATGTCACAGTCTCTCAAACTGTTGGAGGGCTGGATTATAATTTGAAAAAAAAAATGAATGAATTCCTATGCACACTGCACATATCTTATTTGTAGTGCAAAAAAACCCACTTTAAAACAATACAATAATTAAAACGAAGAACAATTTTAACAAATATAAACTTATTAGTATTTCAATGAGAAGTGTGGGCCTACTTTTGGCTGATGAGATAGGATTGTTGTTGTTGCTATTGTTGTGTGCTTTCAAGTCATTTCAGACTTAGGTTGACCCTGAGCAAGGGCCGGGTAAATGACCTTGGAGGGCCGTATCTAGCCCCCGGGCCTTAGTTTGAGGACCCCTGCAGTAGAGTCTCACTTATCTAACCTTCCTTCATCCAACATTCTGTATTATCCAATGCAGTCTGCCTCCTGCCCAAATCCACTGCCGTTTCAATACATTGTGATGTTTTGGTGCTAAATGCCTAAATACAGTAATTGCTACATACCGTTACTGTGTATTGAACTGCTTTTTCTGTCAATTTATTGAAAAACATAATGTTTGCGTGCTTAATTTGTAAAATCATAATGTAATTTGACTTTTAATAGGCTTCTCCTTAATCCCTCCTTATTATCCAACATTTTCGTTTATCCAATGTTCTGCCGGCCCGTTTATGTTGGATAAATGAGACTCTACTATACTGTGC